TAAAAACGATAACTAATGAACTTTTTTGAGAAGAAGTAAACAAAGAGTGATTAGAAGATGAATGGAGAAATCCCACTAGAATCGATGACTAAGTAAATTTTTAATGCCGATTACGGGAAGCCTAACAAATTCCATAAAGAGACTTCGTAGATGATAAACACGTTGCTCTCTTCTTTCAACAAAACCTTAAGGAATCTTCATGTAAACTTCTTCTACAAGATCATCATGCGACAAGCATTGTTGACATCTAACTAGTAAAGTTCCTAATTGCACACTAAGGCAATAGCAAGAGGGCAACGAGATCATCATTAGTTTTGAAATTGAAGCAAATGTCTCATGAAAGTTGAAACCTTCAATTTGAGTATATCCTTTTATAACAAGATAAGATTTGTATCTCTCCATAGAGCTATATAGTTAAAATTTAATTTTGTAAACCCATTTAGAATCCATAACATGTTTTCTAAGTGATAAAGGCATAAGTGTCCAAGTTTGATTGGCTTCTAAAGTAGAAATCTCTTTGGCCATAACATCCCATCGTTGAACATGTTGGATTGCTTGAGAAAATGATGTAATCCCGTCGATGAAGGCCACTAAAAAGGCATTGTGAGTTCTAGAAAAATTGGAATAAAAAGTATTATAAAATAAATGATGTACCATTAAGTTAACCAAACAGGGAGTTGAGTGTGAGGTTGAGGGAGGCAGCAGGGAAGGTGGCAAAGTGTAATGGAAATCAAAGAGATTTTTTTATTATTGTCTGATCCAAAAGGTCGCATAGCTCAAGAATTGGACTGATTAGTAGATTGAGTAGATGGAGAATCAAAAGACAAAGAGCCATTAAAAGTTCGAATAAGTGACTGATCTGATACAAGAGTCTCAAAGAAAACAAGCCTAATTTTGGCATCACTGGACTAGATCGGAGATGAAAGGTCAAATTGCAAACAATCTAGTGAGATGGATTTTGAAGATGTCCCAATACATATGGAAGGAGAATCTACCGACATAGGCTGGTCAAAGATCGACCTAGTACGTGTAGAAAAAATGTCTGTTAGGAGAGAACTGGTCATGGCATTGGCTGGATCAGTAATATGTTGGGCTGAACAAAGGTGGAATGACCAAGTATGGATTAGCAAATGGGCTTAACTGACTTGTTGAATATAATCCAGTATGGTCTGCATGTGAGGCAACGATGAGAGATCCATTGGTAGTAAATAGAAAAATCTCTTAAAAAAATTAAACGTCTCAAGAAGAATAGATTTTACAGCTTCCTATATCATAAATCCGATAGCTCTTTTTTTTTTTTTTTTTTTCATATGGATGACCCATAAAAATATCCGATTTGCTTTGGGAATCAAATTTATCACAAAGTTTGCTATAAACATATACATAACAAAAACATTCAAAACTCTATAGATGATTATAACTGGATGCTTTATCAAATAGAACTTCATAAGGGTTTTGTTTTGTAAGATTGAAAGTAGCATTACGATTGATTAAGTTGTATTTAAAATGCATTCACCTTAAAAATTATCTGGAAGGTTGGCTTAAAAACATAAAGCTATAGCTATCTCTAAGAGATACTTGTATTTTTGTTCAACTATGCTAATTTACTGAAGTGTATATGTACAACTCAATCCATGAATGATTTGAATTCATATTTATTTAATTAAAATAACACCTAATTAATTTTTATAAATAACTTTTTATTTTTTAATTAAAACTAATTAACTTAAATTAACATGTAATTATTTCAAATAGAATTAAAATAATTTAACTGTAAATTAATTTACTTAATTAACTACCTAATTCATTCTTTTAAACAATAATTTAATATTTTAATTACCAACTAATTGACTTAAATTAATAATTAAAAAAATAAATTAACTACCAAATTAATTAAACTAACACGTACTTATATAATTCAAAAAAATTAAAATAATTTAATTTTAAACTAATTTACTTAATTAACTACCTAATTAATTCTTTTAAACAATAATTTAATATTATAATTACCAACTAATTGATTGAAATTAAAAATTAAAAAAATAAATTAACTACCAAATTAATTAAACTAACACATCATTATATAGTTAAAAAGAATTAAAATAAGTTAGTTGTAAACTAATTTACTTAATTAAATACCTTATTAATTCTTTTAAACAATAATTTAATATTTTAATTCCCAACTAATTGAATTAAATTAACAATTAAAAAAATAAATTAAGTATCAAATGAATTAAACTAACACATAATTAAATATTTCAAAAAGAATTAAAATAATTTAATTATAAACTAATTTACTTAATTAACTAGCTAATTAATTCTTTCAAACAATAATTTAATATTTTAATTACCAACTAATTGACTTAAATTAAAAATTAAAAAAATAAATTAACTACCAAATTAATTAAACTAGCACGTAATTATATATTTCAAAAAGAATTAAAATAATTTAATTGTAAACTAATTTATTTAATTAACTATCAAGTTAATCCTTTTAAACAATAATTTAATAGTTTAATTACCAACTAATTGAATTAAATTAACAATTAAAAAACTAATTTAACTACCAAATTAATTAAAATAACATGTAATTATATATTTTAAATAGAATTAAAATAATTTAATTGTAAACTAATTTACTTAATTAACTCGCCTAATTAATTCTTTTTAGCAATATTTTAATTACTAACTAATTGACTTTATCTAACAATTAAAAAACTAAATTAACTCGCCAAATTAATTAAACTAACACGTAATTGTATATTTCAAAAAGAATTAAAATAATTTAATTGTAAACTAATTTACTTAATTAACTACCTAAATAATTCTTTGAAACAATATTTTAATATTTTAATTACCAATTAATTGATGTAATTTAAAAATTAAGAAACTAAATTAACAACCAAATTAATTAAACTTACTTGTAATTATATATTTTAAATAAAATTTAAATAATTTAATTATAAACTAATTTATTTATTAAGTACCCGATTAATTCTTTCAAATAATATTTTAATTAATTTACTTAATTTAATAAATATAAAACTTAATTAACACCGATATAATTAAACTAACAAACAATCAATTTTGTAAAATAATTAAATAATTTATTTAACCACAAACTAAATTAATGTAATTAACACGTTAATCACTTAGATACACATAATTTATTAAACTAACTCCTATTAATTTTTTTTAGAACAACTTAATTATTTAAATACCAACAAATAAAAAAATATTAGTAAACACATAATTAAATAAACTAAAAATTAAATAATTTTTTAACAAAATAATTAAATTAATTAACAACTAACAAACTAACTAGAACAACAAAATAAATAAAACTAACTAATAATTAACAAATAAATAATAAATCACAATAATTATCAAATAAATTATTAAACAATGAATATAAAATTATTAAAATAAGTGAAAAAAAAAACTTTATGAGTTACCAATTACACAAATGGACGAGTAGAGAAGGAGCCGTCGCCAAGAAGGAGGAGGAGCTTCGTCGTGGCACTATTCATGGCAAAAAGGAGGGAAGGGAGGAGGAGGAGGAAAGGAGAGAAAGAAGAAAAAGAGAAGAGGAAAAGGAAAGAAATGGAAGGGAAGATGAAAAGAAGAGAAAAGGGGAGCTTGGAGGGAAGTTGTTGCCTTGATTGGATGGGAAATGGAGAAGGGATGGAGCTACAGCTATCGAAAAAAAGGAGACAAGATGAAGAAAAATGAGGAAAAATTTCGAGGTAGAAGATTTTAAGAATTTTAATTTTTAGCGACGATTTAAAACCATTGCTAAAACCATCACTAATTTTTTTTTCAAAAATTTCGCTTCCCCCAATAGTTACAAATTAGCAACGATTTGTAAAAACCATCACTAATTCGAGTGTTTAGCGATGGTTTTAAGCAAAAACATAGTTGCTAAACCCAATATTTTCTTCTTTTTTGTGTTAAATAATTTTCATGACGGTTTATAAAAACGCTACTAAAAACGAGTTGGTGAAAAGGGTTTTTCGTGACGAGTTTTTAAAAAATGGTTACAAAAATCCTTTTTTTTTTTTTTTTGAAATTAGCGAGGGTTTTAACTAAAAACCTTGCTAATTCTTAAAAGAATTAGTTTTTTTGCGATGGATTTTTAATTCGTCATTAAAAATGGTGAAGTTTGATCGAATTAGCTATGGTTTTTAAAACCATTTGTATGATAAAAAATAAATATGGATTGCTTAAAACCATTGCTTTTTCATGGTTTTAGCTACGTTCTTAAAAACCGTCGCTGATTAAGCTTTTTCCGGTTGTGTTCCATTCATATTGCCAAACCAAGAATATCAAAGATAAAGTATGTTAGCTAGCCTAACCCATGAGATGGATCCTTCCCACCTCGCGGACACTACAAATGTCACTGTGATTCCAAGGTGCTTAAATTTGTGGAATGGAAACAGATTGAATTGCAAAACATGATCTTTCTATAACAAGGGAAAAGGAATTGCACAGAATCAACGCTTCCCGGCTTAATGTTCTTTATGAAAATGCCAAAAAGAGAAAAGAAGAGCTCGAGAAGAACAATAAAAAGGAATCGCCTTTTTATGCCTATTTGTTAATCCTAACGATGTTTTCAATGCAGTCTTATTCCCTGATGACATGAACTTGTACTGTTTTCCGATTCAGACACAAGACTCGGGAGAGAAATTGTGAAGAAGCCTTTCAATTTTTCGGAATTCTGAATAGGCCGGTACCATCACCTTTCTTACGTTCAGCCTTGGTTTGTCCCTTTGTACTTGTAAAAGCTCATGAACTTTGCTGCAAATTCTGACAAGAAAAAGAATTTGGTTAGAGTATAATTAATTTAGCCTGTCATAGAGATACGGATAATTGAAAATGTAAGGTGTCAGTTTGCAATTTGATGACCTTGCAGGCAATTCGAAGGATCTGTGAAGTGTCTGCGCATTTTATATATGTGCCTATGTGTGGATGTACAGCCACTGGCACGAAGAAGCTCTCAATTACTTACCTTCTATCCTAACAAACCTGGCAGCCCTTGCTCTTATCATTTTCTCACAAAATAACTCATCTGGGTTCCTGAATTTTTTCCTTCCAATACACTGGTCTTCATTCTGCTTCATGAAGATAAGACACAACATGACACTGAAATCAGTGACATGCAATATATTGAAACGATTAGCTTAATTGCTTAGCTATGCTTCATACATCATCATTACTATATGTCTGCCATAAAACTCCAATTTGCATTTGAATTTGGTCATCCAAATGCCTCTTCAGTTCTTCCACTAAAGTCTGTGAAACAATCAAGAAAAGTGCTTGAATTCATAGCTTTTCACTCAAATACAAATGCATCTAGACGAGGGTGCCTTACAACAAAAACAAATTGGGGACACAAATTGTGCTGCAACAGAATTTGAAGCTTTTGTCTAAAAAGAAACAACCTGCATACAGAAGAAAGAGCAATGAGCAAATGCAAGAGAGCCGCATACGCTTAATTATCAGAGAAACAGTTATATCCTCATCTTCCAAATACATTTTTCTTTTATGAGTATTTCACAAAATATATGATTTGGCTTATTTTGACTAAATTGACTTGAACTGACATTTCCTTCATTTCTCAAAAGTTCTAGTCGCTGTAGTTTTTTTTTTTTTTTAATCTTTACATATAGTGAGATATTCTTGGACTAGGCTTTTATTTTAATCAAGATTAAGTCACTACCACCGGGTCAGTAAATAATTGAAAAACAGAAGCTACTAACCGTTTAGAGCTTTGGTCTTCAATTATACTTTTAGCAGTGTCTGCAATTTCTTCTTCCCAGCCAGTCATAACCTGCTGGTCTTCTTTGAAGGGATATCTGCAATACACAGGGCATATGGCAAAGCCAACAGAGAGTCAAAACGAAAAAAAAGACGAAAAAGAGTAAGCATATATTCTATTTTGACTTGTGTTTATAATTAGCTGGTATGGATAATAGCGTTAATTGCAGACTTAGTTTTGCCTACTTTGAATGCCAGGTAGCCTCAAATGAACGAATGGCTTGCTGAAGGCAATAGTTGGACTTCTCTGCTATGTTGTTGGCTAATTGGTCAGGCAATTCAATGTCTTGTTGTTTAGCTATGAAATTCAATACTTCAACAATCTAAAGAACAGAAGGAACAATCAGAGTACTGAATTAAAAAGAGAAAAAGAAGTACGGAACTGTCAAATGTTGAAGAATTGAGATTTTATATCTGAAAGAAATCTGAAGCAAATATTTACCTGTTCATTTGAAGGTGGAAGGAGCTGAATAACCATACAGAGGGAATTGAGATGTTGGAGCCTGGAAATATCATAGCAGCAGAAGATGACTTTGTAGGGGCCTTTATTAGTCTCTAAGAAGCTTTTGATTCGGAGTTGGGCATCATTAGAGAGACGCTCCGCTTCATTTACAATAATTCCTGCTTTACAGGAATATACTGAAAACCATAAGCATTTGACAGGTTCGTCAATAATTATTGCAGAAGTGAAGTAAGCTAGATGTTTTCCACACCTTTGCCATTAATGTATGTTTCCTGTAGTAGTTCCAAAATCACATCTGTAGCATCATGCCATCTTAGTTCAGATAGATCGATCTGAATGAGCTGTGAAGATACTTTCATTTTGACAGGAATTTTGAAAAATGGGTCGCCCTGGCTTCCACCCTGAGATAACATAATCAACACATTCAGGGTAGCTGAGGGTGCATTTTGAAGAAACAAAGCCTGAAATTCATATGCTAAGAAGTCGGATGGAAATATGAATGGACAGACAGGAATTAAGCCAGAGTTGAACCAACCATTTTTACTTATTTAATTTACATACCACAATTTAAGCCTAGAATTAGTAAAATCAGACATAAACAAATAGCATGGATCATAAACAACAAAACTAGAATTGAGAAGAACCAAGATGGGCATTTTAGAGTGCTTACCAAATTGAATTCTCTGGATTCCTCCCTTGTCTGTAAAATGAAAGTAAGCAACCAATATAAGGCCTTAAACACCAACGAGAAATTAATACAAGACCAAAGAAATCACTGAAGTACCTCAGTTATATCCAGTCCAGCATATTCTCTAAGCATTGCTAGAGACATTGTTCTCTTTCCGACCCCTGGAGGTCCTTCAAATATACAATGATTATATTGCCCATTGCATACCTAGCAATTCATCAAAACCCATTTAAGAATAAAAAATCTCTACACATTTTCCATATTGATAGATGACTGTCATCAAAGTCCACAATATTAAATTCAATGAATCACAGTTGGAACAGCTTGTATGGCTGCCTCAATTGCTTTCTTGTGCATTTCAGAATGAATAAAAAGCCTTGAGGCCAGTCATCAATTCTGTGCGAAAATACAAGCAACAATAGCTTGTATTTCAGAATGAATATTAAATTCAATGAATCACAGTTGGAACAGCTTGTATGGCTGCCTCAATTGCTTTCTTGTGCATTTCAGAATGAATAAAAAGCCTTGAGGCCAGTCATCAATTCTGTGCGAAAATACAAGCAACAATAGCAATTCAAAATTTCTTTCATAAGACCTCACTTTGATGGAACCATCAGTACTGGAATTTGGAAGGGACCACGCCAGGTAACAATTGGTCCGTAGATTGAAAACGGCCTTCTGTGCCTCTCACATAAAGTTTTCAGTACTTAAATGAAGCTATTTGCCCCTTTAATTGCTTACCAATACCCGCATGCATCTATTGCATATACATAGATGACCATGTGTATATAATTAAGCATACCATAATTTGGATGGATTCAGCCTTCTCTCTGTGACAGATAAAGTCCATCAAAGCCTTGGGCTGATATTTCTTTCCCCAACTAAACGTACAGTCTACATGAGGCCTCTCTCCTTCTCCTTCAGCAACTGCCAAAGTTTCTCCACATGATGCTGATCCTCTTACCATTGATTTCTCAGAAGGAGAGTTATCTAGTTTTTCCATAGTGGGCATACCTGCACTGCAATATTCTTTGGATTTTAAGCAAGGAAAACACCATTTTTGGAAATTGAAGAATAATTTCATGGCTATAAGGTCAAAGTAGCAACAGCTAGCTGTATTTTTTTTTTTTAATCTTTTTTTTGTTTTCAACTTGTAACAGAACAACAATAGCTGCATCCTTGATATAGTTTGCTAGTGTGTGCCGGATAGGTTTTTAAGCTTTGTCGTTTTCTTTTCTTTCTTTTTTTTTTTTTCGATATTTTCAGGGTGAGAAATTTTGAAATTTTTGAGAAGAGTTCTTTACTTAAATAACGTGGTTTATGATTTCTTTTCCCCTTTTTTTCCCTTCTAATTTTGAAGTTTAGGGAAGGGCAGGTTTGGAAATTATAACTAGAAAGATTTTTTTCTATAAAAAGGAGGAAGATTTGAACAACATTTGAGAATTAATTAGAGAGAAGGAATAAGCAACGACAACTCCAAGAACATCCTACACAAGTATGATGTCATAGTTGCATTCACAGAATATATATAGGAGTATAGAACGTGTAAAGGCATTGTGTGTTCGTGTTATTTACATCACATGAGCAACTTTGTTTTCTAAGACGATGAACAGTGACTAAGCATAGTTACATGGAAAATATCAAGAACAATTTTCTGATATACCTAGAACAAGGAGTCTGTTTCTTAGTTGTTGGCAAGGCTTCGGAGTGTCCTGCCTTTTCTCGAATATGGTTAACCATCAACAAAGGCTCATTGGATCTTCTTCGTTCAGTCTCACTTGTGCTAAAGATTAATTCTCTGTCCAGGTTCATTCTCCAAAAAAAAAAAAAAAAAAACCCCAAGTTATCTATTATTCTGTCTAGGTTCATAGTATCTTCTTGGACTATCCAGTTTCATTCTCTCTGTACTTTGCAGGTGTAATCTATCTATGTGCTCTATATATGAAGCTCAGCAGCTTACCTTTGTCCAGTTTAGACACAACGATCACTATTTTTTTTTTTACACTATGGACTAAAGAGACCACTTGGTCTCCGCATACCCTTTTAGACATATTGAATAGTTTTTACTAAATTTTTTAGAATAAAATATATAAAAATATTTAGAAAGATTATTTTATTTTGATAATTTATTTTATAGTATGAATGTATAAAAATATATAAAATCAAAGGTAAAATTTTTTTAATATAATTTAAAATTAAATGGATGAGAATCTTAAAAAAAAAGATAAATTAAAATAGTAAATTTTAAATAATAAAAATCATCAAGAAAAAAATTTCATTTAAAAAGTAAAAAAAAATTATTGTAAAAATTATAACAATGTATTTAAAAAATAAACATTGACGTTCTAAATTTTCATTTCAAAATTCATATATTAAAAAAATAAAATTAAATTAAAAATTTTTTTGATCCGCACTATACTTCGGGCTAGATAAAATGTATAAAATCATTTAGAAAAATTATTTCAGTTTAATAATTTTTTTATAGTAAAAAACCATTTATAATTTTTTAATCAAAAATTTTGTATTTAACTATTTCTTATTTGTGTTTTTAAATTTTAGAAATAAATAATAAAAAAATAAATGATTGGTTTTTTTAAAATTTTAACACCCAATTAATTGTTGATTCCTTTAAAATTTTAACATCTAACATTATTAAGAAATAAAAATTTAAAACAAAAAATTCAATTTTAAAAAAAAAAAAAGGGGGTGAGGGGCTAGTCGTTTACTATTCATATGAATAGTAAACGGATGGAAATTAAAAAAAAAAAAGTTCAATGTTTTTAAAAAAAAAAAAAAGAAGGGGGAGGGGGAGGGGAGGAAGCCGATTACTGTTCAAATCAACAGTAAACGGAGAATAAAAGGGAAGAAGGCCAAGGCTAGCCAAAAAACAAAAATAGTGAAAATTTAAAGAAAAAAAAAAACCAAGCACTATGACAATAAACAATGATTAATATTGTTGACTATTGTACTGAAAAATGTTTTCCTTTTAGTATATAGTATAATATAATGAGAATCCTAAATGGGAAAAAGATGAGATTGTGCTTAATTTGAACATAACCAAAGGCAGATTTGGACTGTTCGGAGCCCAGAATTCTGCCAAACATCTCATTAATTAGTTATTTTTATATATGCAGATCCTAAATCTGCCTAGAGTTCTCCAGGCTTTAATTGTTGAATGCAAATGTTAATGGTTAGAGTAATATAAAGAGAGAGATAAGTCAACTTGACCCGTGTTGTATGCTACATTCGAAGAAATGGCAAGAGGACATTTTAGAGCCGGGTGTGTGTGATATAAATGGCCCATTATGCAAAGAAATATTAAAGTTATTTAATTTCGTCTCAAATGACCTGAAATTAAAGTGATCAGGAAAAAAATAATAATAAATAAATAATTGCAAAATTAAAAAAAAAAAATCTTTTTTTTTTTTTTTTTTGAGAATTTGTTTCTCCACATCTCTTGAAGGAATCCTCATTTTTTCTTTAATTATTTTATTTACAATATGTATGGATAGCAAAAAATGTGCAACCAAAAAAAGAAAATTTATATTTAAGCTCCTCTTTCTTTAACAAAAAAAATAAGTGGACAATGGGGCTTGGTCATTTTTCCTCGGCCAAGGGTCAAAAAAAAGAAAAAAATCCAATTGAAGTGGGTAATCCCAAACGCATACTGTTTATGCATTTCTCTTCACAAATTATACAGTATCATAAATAGTTATTTGTTGGGTAACTGTCCATTCATGATTAAGAGAGTTTATAAATAAACAAATACATCTATTTAAATCTCTCATCTCTCCTTCAATGCTGCCTGTTATTAATGCCTTTTAAACTACAATTGTGTTTACTTTCTTTTAATTTATTAATAACTAAATGGTTGCTCGTTGTTATTTGAAAATTTATAATTTATTTTTATTTTTTCATAAAGTTTATATTTTAAAAAATATGATTTGTTGATCTCTATGCATTGATTTTTAAATAAAAAATTATAATAATTTAAAATCGAATATTAATCAATAATAAAAATACTTTAAAAATATATATTTTTTTATAAGAATGTATAAAAAATAAAGTTACAATTAATGTATAGACTTTATAAAAATTAACTAGTAATTAATAAGAAAAATCAATCTTATTTAATATTGATGAGAAAATTATTTTTTAAAAGTATATGTAACCGATATATATATTCATAAAATAATCAATAATATTAGCATAAAAACTATATTTGAATAATTAATATTATTTTAACTATTCTATTTCAAAAAAAAATTGATTTTATAATGTTAAAAAAATAATTCACAATAAATAGCTGGTATTATAAGTGAAGATGTATAATTAGTTTTTAATAAAATCGATGATTCAATACATATATATGACTTGATAATACCTAGTGGACTATGATAAATTATTTGAAATATACTTTTAACCATTTAGACTAAAATAAAATATAATTTTCATACTTAACATAACATACTTGTAATTGATGTTGTGTGAATAGTACAAAATATATTTTTAGTTTATACACTTTACTTATTTGTAATTAATATTGTATAAATAGTAATATTGAGTCATTGACATAGTTTTAAATCACAATTGCGGTTAAAAAACGATTGTGATCGTGATTGCAAATAACGGCTTATTGTGGTAGTACAATAACGATTACGGCAACCAATGTCGTAAATACATTAGCGATTATTAATTAATCTCTTCTAATTCACATATTTTTAACAATTTATTAATTAACCACGAGTACTAATAAGTAATAACATCTCTAATAATTTAATATCATATAATAATAATTGAATTTATTTTTTTAAAAAATAGTTAATAACACTCCTAATGATTAATATCACTCAAAAAACAATAAAATACATTACAATTTCAATATACAACTTACAAAAATATTTATTTTCAAAAATATCATCATGGAGAATCATAATAATTGTTAACATTTTGTTGTTGATGTGGTGGTTCTTCTCCATCAAAATTATAATAATAACTATATTGTCATTTCAAATTCAATTGTCCAATAATAAAGCAACCATAGATGATCCATTTTTTAAGAATGTTGTGAATTTAAAATAGATTGGTCTAATGAGGCATCATATGAATCATAAGATACATAACCATATACTTGTGAACTTTATGAGTGATAATATTGTCCCTAACCACATACTTGTAAATCATAATAATTTTTTTCATCAATCTTTTCATGATATAAATATAAATTTTTACTTTTTCTATTCTTTATAACAAATTAAAAAATAACGTAAAATGTAACAAAATGTTTAAATAATTTTTTTAAAAAAAATGACCAACTAATTTATTTTTTAATACTAAAGGGACTAATTTATAATTTACTTGATTAAAGCCTGATTTGCAAGCCTTTGAATACGCTGCACCCAAGACAATAATTGATAGTAAATTATATATTAGTCCCTTTAGTTTTGATAAATGAATTAATTAGTTAAATTTGTTTCAAAAATTAATTACTTAATCTTTTAACGAGTGTTGAACTATTGATCATAATTAATGTAATATATTTTATTTCATAAAATATTTTTTTCATCACTCTTTTTATGAAATAAATTTATTTATTTTTAAAATAAAAAGGAAAATGAATTAGAAAATAACATAAAAAGGAAAAAAAATAACTAAATAATTAATTTTTGAAATAAAAGAACTAACTAATTTATTATTCCAAAATAAAGGGATTGATTTATAATTTATTTAACTAAAGCCTACAAGTGCAAGTTTTGATTCTTATCCTTTGTGAAATCTAAATCTTCACGTAGTGAGGTGTGGTGCTAAACACACTATGGAGTTTGGGCTTCTACATTAGCCTTCTTGGCTGAATTTTAGCTGTTTAAATGGCTGAATTTAAAGTTTTTTTTATAAAAAAAAAAAAACATAAAAAATACTCATTGATCTCACAAAGAAAGATTTTATAGATAAAAAGTTAATACGGAA